TGCAGCACTGAAGCAGATAACCAAAACGGACCTGATCGATTTCTTTAATGAATATGTGAACGTTGGCGCTCCTAAACGGAAGTCATTAAGCTTACAAGTCTTTGGAAGCTCACATTCTTCTGAATTTAAGTCTGAGAAAGTCGATCCAGTTGAACCAAACGTCATCCAGATTGAAGATATATTCTGTTTCAGGAGATCTCGCCCTCTTCACCATTCATTGAAGGGAGACTTGGTCCATTTGAAAGCTCATGATGTTGATCATCAGTGAAGTTTACAGTACAGGAAAATACAAACCAAGAGATGGAGATATTTAGTTGAACACTATTCTGAAGTGACTTGTTCACTATAGACATAGCTATTACTCCTTGTACAGTGCAAATATAAACTGTTAAAAAGGAAATGAAACAAACTCTTTTGCTTCAGAGACCGGGGTTCAAATCCCCGACAAAGAAAAAACACTAGGTGATTTTTTCCGTTGTTAAAAAGGAAATGAAATGAACCCTTCTTATTATAGCAGATTGGAGATATTTGGATCACAAGAGTATCATTCTGTCTTTGTTTTTTTCAAATTCTTGTGGGTTTAGTAATCTGCTATAAAGCCTAATCTGAAAGTGAAGGTTTCATGTATGTGTCAATCCAGGAACATAGTTGAGTTTCTACATCGGTGTGGGGATGAGAAATTGGTTTCTTTAGATCGTCTTGGACAATCATTGTTCAATAAACTAGCTTTTAGGGTTGAGTCAGACACAAGGTCTATTTTTTTTTACATGGTATCAGAATTAGGTTCATCCAAATCGATGTAGAGCCCCTATTGAGGAGGTGTTGAGTTTTCACAATGATGTGGGTATGAGAAATTGGTCTTTTTATATTGTCTTGACAATTCTCACACTATGAACTAACATTTGTGATTAGGTTAGGCCTAAAGTCCACTTCTACGAATAAAATACACATTCTTCTCTAACTTGAAGTGTTTATTTTCAATCATTTGATATCACCAGCTGGGAGGTCATAACTATCACCAACTCTTTATGTAAGAGTTAGAAGAGAGTGAAATGCTCTATTGGGTAGGAAAAAACAAGTTGGATAAGTATGTTTGAACAAAGTTGATCACATATTTCAAAAAAATATATAGAGTAATACACATGAAAAAAACGAAATAATTATGAATTCTAGTTTTGTGATAGAAACTCCAAAAAAGCAACGCCTACTTTTCTAAAATTATAAGTATTATTTAATAGGTTATCACCATTGAACCCACAAAATTTGAGCTCAAATAGAGTCGATCACACATATTCCAAAAAAAATTAGACTTATGCATACAAAAATTAGAAAAAAAATCTTGAATTCATGTTTCGTGACCCCTAAACTCTAAAAAAATGGTGAGGATCTTGTATAGACTATGAATATCGTTTACTAGGTCGTTACGGGTAGACCCATAACAAAGTTGAACAGTCATTCCCAAAAAAATTGTGGAATAACACACCAAAAAACAAACGAATTCTTGATTTTCTACTTCATGATCCCTAAACTCCCAAAAAAATGGCATTCATCCTATAGATGTTATTGGTATCGATTACTGGGTCATTACATATGGACCCACAAAATTTGGGGACAAAAAAAGTCGTTCAATCATATTCAAAAATTATTGATTAATACACACAAAAAGTTGAGAAAATCCTACTGTCATTTCGTAACACCTAAACTCTAAAAATGTAAATTGAGACTATGGATATCATTCACTAGGTCGTCACTTATAGATTCAAATAATCTCAGTTCAGATACGTTGCTCGACTTGCGCCTTTGCACGCTCGACCGCTCCCCCATCCCGCCTGGCCCATTCTAGCGGGGAATAACCTCAATTCGTAGAAGCTGCATCCTCAAGGACTGAGTGATTATGCCAGTGATCAAGATATCAACCACATAAATAGATTAGGTTCGAACATAATCGGTCAGTAATATTTCAAAAAAAATCATGAATTAACACACAAAAAATAGAGAAAATTTTAAATTTCTATTTTATGACTTCTATAAATGCTAAAAAAAATGATGTGGATTATGTAGGGGCTATGAGTATGGTTCACTAAGTCATTGCTGGTGGTTTTTAAATTTTTTGAGTCAAATCAACCTGATCTGTCATATTCTCAAAAATTAATGGACTAATACACACAAAAGTTTTTTTAAAAAAAATGTTTGGTGACCCTTAAATGTGAAAAACATGAACGTGGATCACGTATAGGCTATAAAGTATGCTCACTAAGATATTACGAATGGTTCTTAAAATTTTGGAGCCAAACGGAATCGGTTTGTCATATTTCTAAAAATTTATAGACTAATACAAACGAAATTGAGAAAATCCTAAATTCTCATATCGTGATCCCTCTAAGCAAAAAAAACGATGTAGGTCATTACGAATTATCCTAAAAAATATCGGGCTTAACAGACCGCCAGTTATTTCCAAAAATTCATGGACGTTACACACAAAAAATGAAGAATATTCTGAATTTTTATTTTATGACACCTAAATACTAAAACATATGTGAATCAAGTAGAGGCTACATATATGGTTTACTAGGTTATTATGGATGATCCAGAAAAATCTTAGGCCAAAAAGAGCAGGTCAGTCATATTTCAAAAAAAGCCATGGACTAATACACACAAAAAATTGAGAAAATATTGAATTCGAGTTTTACAACCCCTAAATGCTAAAAAAAATGTTGTGGATCATGTAAAGGCTATGAATATTGTTTACTATGTCATTACGGACGGTCCTAAAATATATTGAGCTAAACAGAATCGCTCACTCATATTTTCAAAGATTTATGGACGAAAAATGGAGAATATCATGAATTCCTATTTTGTGACTTCTGAATGTAAATAAAATTGGTGTGGATCATGTAGTGGTTATGGGTATGGTTCACTAGGTCATTACAGATGGTCCTAGGAAATATTGGTTCAAAATAGTGAATGTTAGTTATATTTCCAAGAATTCATGAATTTATACACATGAAAAAGTGAGAAGTATAAATTTATGTTTTATCACACCTCTACATGCTAAAAAAAATAATGGTGTGGATCATGTGAAGGCTATGAGTATGGTTCACTAGGTCATTAAGAATGATCCTAAAAAATTATGGGTCAAGTAGAGTCAATCAATTATTTTCCAAAATACATGGACTAACACACAAAAAAACTGAAAAATTCTAGAATTTCTATTTCTTGACCTCCAATCTCTAAAGAAAGTGGCATCCATCTTGTATATGCTATGATTATTGTTCATTAGATCATTACAGATTGACCCACAAAATTTGAAACCTAACAAAGTATGTCAGACATATTTCCAAAAATCAATGGACTAATAAACACGAAAAATTGAGAAAACTCTTATATCATATTTTGTGACCCCCAAAATACTAAGAAAATGGCATTCATTTTGTATATGCTATAATTATTGTTCACTAGGTCGTCATGGAAGGACCAAATTTGGGTTAAACAAAGTTGATCAATCATATTCCCAAAAAATTGTGAACTAATACACGAAAAATTTGCGAATATTCTACATTTTAGAACAATGGTATTCATCTTGAAAATATCCTGATTTTTTGTTTACAAAACCCCAAATTCTAGAAAAGTGGCATTCATCATGTAGATGTTGTGAATGTCATTCACTATGTCATAACAGATGAACTCATAAAATTTGAGATCAAACAGAGTCAATCAGCCATTTTCCAAAACATTCATAGACTAATTTACACAAAAAGCTAAAAAAAAAATCTGAATTCATGTTTCGTGACACCTAAACTCTAAAAAAATAGTGTGCATCCTATAGAGATTATGGGTATGAAACCAAGGATGGAACCGCAAAATTTAGGATCAAATTGAATTGGTCTTTGGTCAATCATATTTTTTAAAATATTGTGAACTAATACACACAAAAATCTGGAAAAATCATGAGTTCTTGTTTCCTCAACCCTAAACTCCAAAAAAGTGTCATCTGTCTTGCAAAGGCTTTAATAAGAGTATTTCACCAGGTCATTTTACAAATGAACCCACAAAATTTGAAGTCAAACAAAGTCTATCAATCATATTCCAAAAATTCATCAATATTACACATTAAAAGATGTGATAATCCTAAATTCCTATTATCACCCCAAAACTTAAAAATTGTGATTTTAGCTCTAGAGAAGCAATTAGTATAGTTCAATAGGTCAGATTAAATGGCACAACAAAATTTGGTTTCAAACAAAATCGATTAATTGTATATTGAAAAATTTATGAACAAATACACACGAAAAGCTAAGATTCTTCTTTGGGTCCACGGAATCGATCAATCGTATTCCATAAATAATTACTAATTTTTTCTTGGCGCAAAAACATCAAAAATCAAATAAAGTAATAAATATTTTCAATTCATACTAACCCATATATATATATATATACATAAACTTGATCAACAAACAATCACACCCCCGACTTTATATGTACTATACTAAACATGACTTCCTTAAATCACTCATTTAATCTCTCTTTTTCTTTCTTTCCTATTCCTTCAAACCAATCAAGCCAGCATGCCATAAACAATACATACAATAATAATCACACAATAAAATAAGAATTTAACTTATATACACTGACATCACGTATAAACACACAAACTTGACATCCCAATCCATTAAATTTTCACTTTCAATCCTTCACAAAAGTAAGTATTCATAATTCCATACATACATGGACTTAGTCCAACGTGTGAACGATGAAGTCTGCAGTGTCAACATGCATGGAAGTTTTGACACCATAACTCTCCATAGAGTTTGGCTCTTGATTATGAGCAATAAATCCAAGTTTCTCTTTTTGACAACGACGAGGAAAATCTGAAGCATTGCCATGGATGTTGGAGGGTGGATGGTAATACATTCGAGCAGTCTGAGGGCAATGTGAATGAAACCTAGCTACTATTCTCACACCTACATCCACCATCTCCATGTATTTACCCATGGATTATGTCTTTCTTCACAATGGTTCGATGTATAAGAAAACTTGAACAAAATTAATATAAATGCAGATGGTTGAAGAAGAAATGAGGAAGAGGAATATACCAAGTATATAGATTTGTAGAGGAGACTTTGAAACTTTTGCTTCTTCAAGATGGCTTTGACATTTAGTATACTTTCTTGTCCTTTCCATGTAGTTTGAGTCTTTTTGACTTGTTAATTGTGTCTGTTCCAAATATGGTGGGTCAGAATATCATAGATTTGGTCAACAAAATTTTGGTCAATAAAATCTAATTTAGACAAATAATATTGTAAGCTGCAATTTTGATGGAAGTCAATACCGTAAGATGCAATTTTGAAAACTGAAAACTGAAAAAATAAATTGTCTAGTACAATAAGCTTTGCAACTGTACTTTTGGTGTCAATTATATAATATTTCATGTTCTCTTTTTTTATCAAGTAAATAATTCATCAATAATAACAAGGCCAACTTGGCCGTATACATATATTTCTTGTTATAATACATACATGTAGCCTCTCTTACGCCAAAATTTAACTTCAGGTAGAACTTACCAACTTGATTTACCTCCGTTTTAGTGCTGTCTACCTTGTCAACTTATCTGCAGCAAAAAGAGAGAAGGTTGATAAAATCATTAGATGAAATGATGCTGAAAGAAATTGAGAAAAATCAGTGCTGGATATACAAACATAATGCAATAACTTTGACAAAGTCCAAAATACAGCATCAGCTATGTTGAAGTACCTTGTCACATGAAGAAACTGACTAATCTTCTTCACATCACTTGGTCTTAGCACGACCATGATCTACTTATGAGGAACACAAAAAGGAAAAAACTGAAATGCTTTTTTCGAAAGGTGATTATTGTAATTGTATTCACAAAACAACACAAATTGAGTGCTGTAAATTTTGTACATGTGAGCAGAAAAAGAAAAGAAAAGTAAGACCTCTCCTAAACTTAGAAAGACTATATGAACTCTAATAGAGTTTCTGTCTCATTAGCAGATTTCAGTTTACATCAAAAATGAAACAACAAAAGACAATCTAACTTAATCGTCTGTAATGCTTCTCTTCAAAACACATGGAGTTCCTTTCTCACCAAACCACACACCAGAAACAAGGAACAGTATTCCACCAGCTATTCCTTACTTTGTCTTGTCCATACTTGCATCAACATCGGTAAAGATCATGTATACTCCCAGGCATGAACCATTTGATACCCACAAAATTCAGGAGGTGTGATGTAATCCATAACAAAAACAAGAAATACATAACCTTCAAAATTTACCTCCCTTGTGGACTACAATAAGATAATGACAAATCCATAAACGTTATGATTTGAGGAATTTCCAGATTAATATCCACAGGTAGCTTATCTGCACAACAAAACTCCCATAACACCTTCACAGATATCTATTTCCTTCTTGACCTTGTTCTTTTAACCATTTCTTTTTAGCTCTGCTTCTTGTCAATGGACCATTACTCGAGTTAGTGGTGTTTACTATCCCAAAATCTCCCTGTCCAGATACTTTGTGCACAGCTCTCTTTTCTTCTTGCGTCTGGTGAACTTTGGTTTTCTTATATAAGCTAGCTTTATCTCTTATTAAAGAGATGCTACTTGAGCTATTCTTATCAATATCTGTTCCACTCTCATCATTACATTTCTGAAGCACTTCATTTCTACATTGTGCATCGGGCACATGGTTATCATCTTCTTTCCTCAAATTAGCTGCAGTTTTCTTCTTTTTAGGAGTTTCATCCAGTGAAGGACCCTGCTTGTGACTTGATTTCCACTTTTTGGTTCAAACAAGAATTTTCACCAGCGGTAGGAACATCGTCACCACTTCTATGCACTAGTCTATCCAATAATCTCTTTTCTGGCATATCCTTTGGAGTAGCTTCCGGCAAGTCTTCTTTACCAGATTTTTCATCTGGTATATAGCTATCCTCTTGCTTCCGGATTGTTTTAGCTTTTCTTCTTTTTGACTAGGACTTCCATTCAGTGAAGGACTTCGGGGTGTGACCTGATTACCACTTTTTTGGTTCAAACAAGAATTTTCACCAGCGGTAGGAACATCGTCACCACTTCTATGCACTAGTCTATCCAATAATCTCTTTTCTGGCATATCCTTTGGAGTAGCTTCCGGCAAGTCTTCTTTACCAGATTTTTCATCTGGTATATAGCTATCCTCTTGCTTCCGGATTGTTTTAGCTTTCTTCTTTTGACTAGGACTTCCATTCAGTGAAGGACTTCGGGGTGTGACCTGATTACCACTTTTTTGGTTCAAAGAAGAGGCTTTATCAACGTTAAAAGCATTGTTACCATATTTCTGCACTATTTCATTAAAAATACTCTTTCTTAGCATGCCGCCTTCTGGATCACCAGCACCCGATATTAAGAGATCTCGTAAAACATTGGCGGGAAGATGATCAACAGACATTGTAAAGGAACTACTTGTGCAATCAGCTGATGTGTTTGCTGACTCTGAGAAATCGGAAATTACAGAGGCTGCATTTTCATTGGTTGATTCTCCAAATGACACAGCAGCAGACTCTTCCCAATTGTATGGAAATCCAAGAAGGAACTGCTGGCAAACCTGTTAGTTTGAAATTTCTGTTTATTATCTTCATCAACAACAACATACCTAGTGTAATTCCACAAAGTGGGGTCTGGGAAGGGACGAGGGTAGAGTGTACATAGACCTTACCACTACCTTGGAGAGGTAGAGATTGTTTATTATTTCAACTTCACAAAACATGATTTTATTCTAATTTGTAACTAACATGTGTATGCTCATTTTGGAGAGTCCATTTTATGCTTTAGCAGGCTTTCCTTCTTTAGGTTCCTCAAGGAATTAGTTAAAACCACAAAAGCAGAAAAAGATTGAAGTTTATCTGTAAAAAATGAGTCATAGCTGAAGAAAGACTGTCAGAAGTAATTATTGAGCGGAGATTACTGGAAAGAGGTAAGCAAAAATTAATTAACAAGACAGGACCCATTGGGTAGTAATATGAATTTTTAAGTCAAAAAGTTTCATTAATAAACACCAAATAATGTTAAAAAAATTGTCCAAGATGTGTGTGCAAGTCATACATTGTCTTCCACCAAGATTGACAAACTATAGATAGTACTATGATTACGACAGTTAATGCTACAGATGGGACCAAATAGAACCTCTAAAACTTCTTAGCTAACGTAAACCTCAATTATATGTTCCATCAAAACAGCTGCAAATAAAGCTGTCATATGAGTTAAGAACTAAAATAACTTCAATACCTCTGATGAGAAGCCATTTTGAAGAGTTCGACACCTATTAATGAAACCGCTAAGAAGAATGGTGATGCCATCCACTGTCACTAAAGTGGCAGTATCATGCCTCTTCGCAATTGTTGTGGAGTGGAAAACTCTTCCATCTGGTTTCCTAACGAAGGGAAACAAAATATCACACTACTTGATTCCAAGAAATGCCTTGTCACACGAAATAAATAATACAGTACTCTAGTTCCATTAAAGCACTGTTAAACTAAGACAAAGTTATGAATTAATATGCTTGCATATGAGTGGTCCAATAGGGACATCCAGAGGCAAAGATAAATAAACTTTTTATCTGTCATCTCATGGAAAAGAACCCAAAGAAAGGCCTTTTAACTGCGCTATGCTAATTATGTCCTGGAAATGGGATCATTGACAAAATTCCACACCTTCCAAATAACACTTTCGTATGCAACTTGGAAAACAATCCAACAAAAAGAACATTACTAGAACCGAGTTTCTTACTTGATCAATGCAATAAAACATGGAAAAGATTAGTACAATTTGTTTGGCAACTTGAGAGACAATCAGACCAAAATTCTGAAATCCACATATCATCTGTGTCTTGATTAAATTTTAACTAAAATAATAGCATGTATTAATTAACCTCTTGTGAGATTAACAGTGTTATATAGAAATGAATAAGGTGCTTCTAAAATCCAACATATCCACAAAATAATTGTTGTAGAAATTGGAAGGATAGAAGGTTTAAGGCAAAGACATGCAATAACAATCTTTTGTCGACAATAAGAAACTGTGGACGTTGGCAGTGGAGAACAATCTGGAAGACCATCACACCCCTTAGAGCTGATTGCTTCACTTGGATTGGAACTCATGAGGCTTGTTTAACACTTGACAATCTGCAGAAAAGAGGTCCAGATGCGTTCTATGTGAAAAAGCTAATGAATCAGTAAATCACTTAATGCTCCACTGTACTTTCACCAGGCAACTAAGGGACATGTTTCTAGCGATTTTTGGAGTTAAATGGGTTATGCCAGGTTGATAAAACTTGCTCTAAGTAGCTGGGATGACCAGTATTATTCTAAGAACAGATTATATTGGAAGGCAGCCCATACTTGCATTTTCTGGAATGTTTGGAAGGAGAGAAATAACAGGTATTTTAATGATAGAAGGGAAAACATACTTCATGTTAAATCTAGATGTTTGAAAAGTTTATACTTATGGTGTAAAGGAAAAACATTTTATCGGACATGAACTTTATGTTAGATCTTTTACATTCCTTCAACATATAGAAGGAAATATTTTAGTTTGTACTATACCTTATATTGCTATTTTACTGCCTTATTTTCTTACAACCCCACGTCGAGTACTTTTATTTTGAGCCAAAGGTCTATTGGAAACAGCCTCTCTATCCCATAAAGGTAAAGATAAGGTTTGCGTACATCCTACCCTCCCCATACCCCACTTGTGAGACTACATTGGGTATGTTGTTGTTGTTGTACTCTTTTTTGTACCTTCTTTGGTACTCTTTAATGAAATCTATTACCTTTTTCATCAAAAATAAAATAAAATTGGTCATATAGAAGTAGAAAATATTAGAAATGACCCAAAAGCTGGTACAAGTAGCACATGAAAAGGAAAAAAAATATGAGAGGTCGTTGAAATGGTTCAATCACGTCCTACATAGACCTCCAAATGCACTAAGTTATTTGATATTTGAATTGAATTAGCATAGAATGGGATCAATAAAGAGGCATCATAGTCCGACCACACAAATTTGGGATTGACCATTGTTGATTAATGGATTGATATATTGATTGATAGGACAAAACATTGCTCTTAAAACTACTCACTAACTTTCCAGCACCCTGTAAAAGATCCAAAAAACTATCTGAGCATGTAAATTCAAATCCAACTTTAATAAATTCATATATTTTTTCTCTAATGTGATCAATTACCTTCTTCTTCGTGGTCAATGAAGTGGGAGGAGAATCATGAGTTCTTAGGTTCATATCCCAGCAGAGACAAAAAAAACGCTAGATGATTTCTTTCCATAGGCCTAAGCCTTGGCTGGCAGAGTTATCACATGGAAGGTAGCAGGTACCTGCTGGAACAGTCGAGACGCAAGCTGACTCGAACATCATTATCACAAAAAAAGGACATCCTACATTGCTCAGACTCTTCGAAAATATTGATGGGCGTGTTTCGGATTCTCATGCAGCAACATTTTTGGAGAGACCGAACAACTACTTTGATTTCAACTCACCTCAAGAATCTTGTACTCCCTAATAACTAACAAACTTATCAACAAAAATTCCAACTTTCATTCAAGAATACGTATATTCAACTCCCTGCACTACCTCAAAATCTTATAATCCCTATTTAACAGACTTACCCAAAACAGAAAAAGAAAAAAAAAAATCAGCAACATTCTAAAGTAAAGGGTAAAAAAAATTACTCTTTTGCAGTGAAACCTCCAACACCCAATCGCTTGCTTCCATCACCAATTTCAACTTTAATCAACCACCAATCATACAAGTAAACCTGCAAAATGTAAAAAAAAAAAACATATCCATGAATTTCTACGGAGTATATAATTGAATGTAATTAAGGTGAACAATAATTCATTAAAAAAAAGATTGTACTTGTTTGAGGAAGGAAGAAGAGAGAGTGAAACTATTTGCTTCCGCCATGTGAATGAACCCTAAATCGAAATGAGAAAATTCAGCTTTGCCTTTTGGTTAAAGCGCGAAAAATAGTCCTTTTAACTAATAAGGGTAGGGGTATTTTGGTCTCTTAAAATGTATATCAATGAACAAAGTCCGTCAAAGCTAGAATAGATGGAATCCCGGAAAGAAAGGGTAAATGTTAAATGGCCAGAAAATTTGGCCAGAAATTTAAAATAAATTATAATATTTTTTTTATTTTAAAATAAACTAATCTTTTTTCCATTTTTTAGTTAAAAGGGTAAAAATATTTTTAAAGATAAAATAACATATGTAAAATACCATTCTAGCCAAAAGGATAATTACTTTAAGGGATTATTTGGTAGTTGATTGGGTGTCCTGAAGTTAGGACTCTTGGAAGGAAACACCTAGGATCCTCTGGTAATTGGTTTGGAAGTGAGTTACGCAGACATAAAATAAGATTATTTTTTTATAATTAATTTCTACATTATTGTGGGTGTCTACCAAGGTTGGAATATATAGGAAGAAACCACCTAGGGGATCGTTTGGTAGTTGATTTGGAGGTAGAGGTGTATGTAGGAGGGGGTCATCGGGTTCACGTGAACTCATGCTCCCCTTTCGAAATCATATCTAGTAGTGTTATATTTTAAAATTTTTTGTTAAATATAGATGTGTGAACCCACATAGGAAGTATCATATAATGTGACAATGATTGGGACTTTTCAGTGATGTTAGAAATTTCACTTTTATATATATCTTGTTTTATTTCTCTTTTTAAGATGGGTAACAGCTCTAAAAGTGGTTATTGGTAGCATTTTTCGTGTTTTAATTAATTCAACATTTCAATTTTGTATTTAAAATTTTAATTGTTTTCAATGATAAGAATCTAAATGTCAAACCGATTAGATCCACCTTTTCATAATAATGCACTTATCATGGATACACCTCTGTTTGGAGGTGAGTTATGCATATATAATTCTAACTCATTGCTTGATCGAGCACTTTAAATGACTACGTGTATTCGTTGTTATATGAAAAATATTGGTCAATAATCTCTAAATAATATTGTAAGCTGTAATTTTGAAGAAAGCTCAATGTATAGGCAGGTTTAAAATTAAAATGTTGTTAGTTCAAGCTCAAAATTCTACCACAAATCCATACAAATGTTGAAATATTTTATTCTTCTTCTTTTTGAACCATAATAATAATCAAGAAGCATAAAGTATATAATTTTTCTAGTCTAGTAAAATAAACTTTGGGATTATAATTTTGTTTCATTTATTTATATAAAAAATATATATCCAGGCTCTCTTGGGTAATTTATTTTCCAAGTCAAAGTTGATCCACTTCTGTTTTGGTGTTGTCTAACTTGTCAACTTATCTACAGCAAAAAGATTAAAATAAAAGGTTGAAAAACATTAGACAAAATGATGTTGAAAGTTAGAAAGTGTAAACTAGTAAATCAGGCTAATACATATTAGTTAAAAAAAAAAATTTGACTATTAAGTACTTCTTTCGTGGCACTTTTCGAATTTTGAGATTCAAATAAGTCTATTTTTAATCGTAAATTTTTCATATATCTTTTAATTATTTTGAGTTGTCAATTATTGTGACTTATAGTAGTTTTTACTTAGTTTACAAATATAAAAATTTCATTTCAAAAAAACTGAAGATGTCACACGCAAATTTCCGATCAAACTTAAATTATTTGACTCTCAAAAAACGAAAAATGTCACATAAATTGAGATGGAGGAAATATTTCTTTTGAACTCCAATTGTAATCAATTTTTTGTCAAACAAAATGAAACTATGGAAGTACTTAAAAAGACAATATCCTTTCATATTTCAAATTAGAATAAAAAAACTTCTGCATATTAGTAATTGAAAAATGACGCTTTAAAGTTAATTTTTTGTACATGTGAGCAGACCTCTCTTAAACTTAGAGGGACTATATGAACTCTAATATGCTTCTCTTCAAAACACAAGAAGTTCCTTTCTCTCCAAACCACACACCAGAAACAAGAAACAGTATTCCGCCAGCTATTCCATACTTGCATCAACATCGGAAAAGATCATGTGTATGAACCATTTGATACAGAAAATTCAGGAGGTGTGATGTAATCCACAACAAAAACATAACCTTCAAAATTCACCTCCCTTGTGGACTACAATAACATAGTGACAAATCCATAAACATCATGATTTGACGAATTTCCAGATTAATATCCACGGGTAGCTAATCTGTACAGCAAAACTCGTATAATACCTTCACAGATATCAATTTCCTTCTTGACATTGTTCTTTTAACCATTTCTTTTTAGCTCTGCTTCTTGTCAATGGACCATTACTTGAGTTAGTGGTGTTTACTATCCCAAAATCTCCCTGTCCAGATACTTTGTGCACATCTCTCTTTTCTTCTTGTGTCGGTAAACTTTGGTTTTCTTATATAAGCTAGCTTTATCTCTTGTTAAAGAGATGCTACTTGAGCTATTCTTATCAATATCTGTTCCATTCTCATCATTACATTTCTGAAGCACTTCTTTTCTACATTGTGCATCGGGCACATGGTTATCATCTTCTTTCCTCAAATTAGCTGCAGTTTTCTTCTTTTTAGAAGGAGTTTCATCCAGTGAAGGACCCCTGCTTGTGACTTGATTTCCACTTTTTTGGTTCAAACAAGAATTTTCACTAACGGTAAGAACATCGTCACCACTTCTATGCACTAGTCTATCCAAAACTCTCTTTTCTTGCATATCCTTTGGAGTAGCTTCCGGCAAGTCTTCTTTACCAGATTCTGCATCTGGGATACAGCTATCTTCTTGCTTCCGGTTTGTTTTAGCTTTCTTCTTTTGACTAGGACATCCACTCAGTGAAGGACTTTGGGGTGTGACCTGATTACCACTTTTTTGGTTCAAAGAAGAAGCTTCATCAACGTGGAAAGCATTGTTACCATATTTCTGCACTATTTCATTAAAAATACTCTTTCTTAGCATGCCGCCTTCTGGATCACCAGCACCCGATATTAAGAGATCTCGTAAAACATTGGCGGGAAGATGATCAACAGACATTGTAAAGGAACTACTTGTGCAATCAGCTGATGCGTTTGCTGACTCTGAGAAATCAGAAATTCCAGAGGCTGCATTTTTCATTGGGTGATTCTCCAAATGACACAGCAGCAGACTCACCTGTTAGTTTAAAATTTCTGTTTATTATCTTCATCAACAACAAAGTGGGGTCTGGGGAGGAACGAGGGTAGAGTGTACATAGACCTTACCCCTACCTTGGAGGTAGAGATTATTTATTATTTCATCTTCACAAAACATGATTTTATTCTAATTTGTAACTAGCATGTGTATGCTCATTTTGGAGAGTACATTTTATGCTTTAGCAGGCTTTCCTTCTTTAGGTTCCTCAAGGAGTCAGTTAAAACCGCAAAAGCAGAAAAGACTGAAGTTTATCTGTAAAAAATGAGTGATAGCTGAAGAAAGACTGTCAGAAGTAATTATTGAGCAGAGATTACTCAAAAGAGGTAAGCAAAAATTAATTAACAAGAGAGGACCCATTGGATAGTAATATGAATATTCAAGTCAAAAAGTTTCATTAATAACCAAATAATGTTAAAAAAATTGTACAAGATGTGTGTGCAAGTCATACATTGTCTTCCACCAAGATTGACAAACTATAGATAGTACTATGTTTCGACAGTTAATGCTACAGATGGGACCAAATAGAACCTCTAAAACTTCTTAGCTAATGTAAACCTCAATTATATGTTCCATCAAAACAGCTGCAGATAAAGCAGTCATATGAGTTAAGAACTAAAATAACTTCAATACCTCTGATGAGAAGCCATTTTGAAGAGTTCGACACCTATTAATGAAACCACTAAGAAGAATGGTGATGCCATCCACCGTCACTAAAGTGGTAGTATCACGCCTCTTCGCAATTGTTGTGGAGTGGAAAACTCTTCCATCTGGTCTCCTATTTAACGAAGTGCAACAAAATATCACACAAAACAAAATAATACAGTACTCTAGTTCCATTAAAGCACTTTTAAACTAAGACGAAGTTAATATGCTTGCATATGAGCGGTCCAATAGGGGCATCCAGAGGCAAAGATAATTGAACTTTTTATCTGACATCTCATGGAAAAGAACCCAAAGGAAGGAATTTAAACTGCGTCATGCAAATTATGTTCTGGAAAAGGATCATTGAAAAAATTTCATACCTTCCACATAACACTTTTGTATGCAACTTGGAAAACAATCCAACTAAAAGAACATTACTAGAACAGTGTTTCCTACTTGATCAATGCAATAAAACATGGAAAAGATTAAAACAATTTGTTTGGCTACTTGAGAGACAATCAGAGCAAAATTCTGAAATCCACATATCATCTGCGTCTTGATTAAAATTTAACTATAATAAAAGTGTGTTTTAACCTCTTGTGAAATTAACAGTGTTATATAGAAATGAATAATGTGCTTCTAAAATCCAACATATCCACAAAATGAGTGTCGTAGAAATTGAAAGGATGGCAGGTCTAAGGTAAAGACATGCTATAACAATCTTTTGTGGAGAATGGGAGGAAGGCCATGGTGAAGCCATCAGGGCCTTGGGCTTTGTTTGGAGCATAAGATTTAAGGGCTTCTGACACTTCCTGCTCATTGAAAGGAAGCTCAAGCTCCTCTTTTTCTATAGCACTGATAGTGGAGAGTCCCTCAAAAACAGTTGTAGGTCTCCATGTCTCTTCCTCCTGAAATAGCTTTTGGTAATAATCTAGAATACCTTCCTTAATCAGCCCCTTGTCTTCAATTAGACCATCCCTTATTCTCAATTTGTCAATGCAGGTATTCCTTCTGTGAGAGTTGGCCATTCTTTGGAAGAATTTAGTGTTTTTATCACCTTCTTTCAGCCATAAACACCTAGATTTTTGCCTCTATGAGATCTCTTCAGCGATGGCAATCTGGTGAATCTCAATTTTCAAATCAAGTAACTTCAAATTCTCCTCAGTAGTGTAAGGTCTTTGCTCAGCAATTTGATCCAACTTTCCAAGTTCCATGAGAGCTTTGTGTCTTCGAGTATCAAGCTTACCAAAAACTTCTTTGTTCTATTTTGTAATATCCTTCTTTGAGTGCCTTAGCTTCTGGATCAGGACAAAATCAGGAGTGCCCATAACAATGTAAGAGTTCCACCAATCTCTTACCATATCTAGGAAACCATCTGATTGTAGCCACATATTCTCAAATTTAAAGTAAGAGGGTGAAGCATCCCAATCCCCACTTTCCAAGACGATGGGATTGTGGTCGGAGAACACTCTAGGCAGTGGGAACTGTTTGATAGCATTGAACATTTCACTCCATTCAGGTGAGATTAGAAACCTGTCAATTCTAGAGGCTTGGAAGGAGACCTCCCCTCTTGACCAGGTAAATTGAGCTCCTTGGAGAGGAGGATCAATCAATTCTAAATCTTTAATGATGTCGGAAAAGCCCACCATTGCTCTTGATCTTCTGGTATGTTGTTGTACTCTTTTGTGGACCTTCTTTGGTACTCTTTAATGAAATCTATTACATTTTTCATCAACAAAATAAAATAAAAAATGGTCATATAAAAGTAGAAAAGACCAGAAATCACCCGAAAGATGGTGCAAGTAGCACATGTAAGAGAAAAAATACCACGTCCTACATAGACCTGCAAATGCTCTAACTTCTTTGATATTTAAATTAAATTAGCACGGAGTGGAATCAATACAGAGGCTTCATAGTCCAACCACACTAATTTGGGATTGACCATTGTTGATTAACGGAATAATATATTGATTGATAGGACAAAATGTTGCTCTTAAAACTACTTGCTAACTTTCCAGCACCCTAGAAAAGATTTTAAAAAAAAAAACTATCTGAGCATGCAAATTCAAATCCAACTTTAAGAAATTCATATTTTTTTCTCTAATGTGATCCATTGCCTTCTTTTTTCTTTTTCTTTTTTGTTTCTTTGGGGGGGAGGGGGGGTTCAAATCATGCGATCGGTTACCAGCTTAAAAGCATATTTATTATTTGACCACAGAACTAGTTCGTTGGCTTTATCATGCTCCAAGAAACTACTTGAAAATTGGCAAGAACAAAAGGATGTGGGCTAGTGGTCAATGAAGTGGAAGGAGAACCATGAGTTCATAGATTCATATTCCACCAGAAACAAAAAAAAACTCTATATGATTTCTTTCTATATGCCTAAGCCTTGGCTGGCGCCTGGCAGAGTTATCACATGGACGATAGCAGGTACCTGTTGGAACAGTCGAAACACAAGCTCGCACGCACACCATTATCACAAACAAAAGGACATCCTAAGTTGCTCAGACTCTTCGAAAATACAGATGGGTGTGCGTCGGATCTTCCAAAGGCATTACATTTTTGGAGGATCTAACACAAGTGCAACAACATTTCTGGAGAGTCCGAACAACATAGAGGACAACCTATCAGACTCTTCGAAAATATTGATGGGCGTGTGTCGGATCCTGATGCAGCAACATTTTTGGAGAGTACGAACAACATAGAGGACAACTACTCTGATTCCAACTTCCATTCAAGACTCAACTCCCAGAATTAGATGAACTACTACCTCAAGAATCTTATACTCCCTACTAACTAACTAACTTATCAACAAAAATTCCAACTTTCATTCAAGAATACGTATATTCAACTCCCTGAATTCAATAAACCGATACCTCAAAATCTTATACTCCCTATTTAACAGACTTAACCAAAACAGAAAAAAAAAATCAGCAACATTCTAAAGTAAAGGGAAAAAATTTACTCTTTTGCAGTGAAACCTCCAACACCCAATCGCTTGCTTCCATCACCAATGTCAGCTTTAATCAACCACCAATCATACAAGTAAACCTGCAAAACGTAAAAAAAAATAAAAATCCATGAATTTCTACAGAGTATATAATTGAATGTAATTAAGGTGAAAATTAATTTATTAAAAAAAGATTGTATTTGTTTGAGGAAGGAAGAAGAGAGAGTGAAACTATTTGCTTCCGCCATGTGAATGAACCCTAAATCGAAATGAGAAAATTCAGCTTGTTTTCTGGTTTAAGCGCGAAATATAGTCCTTCTAAGTTTCAAGTATAAGAGTAGGGGTATTTTGGTCTCTTAAAATGTATATCCATTAACAAAAATTTGTCCTTTCAAGTTTCAAGGATTTGATTGCAAAATAAATAGAAAGAAATTATCTAGGGAAACCTTTGGTAACTGATTTGGAAGTGAGTTAGACAGACATAAAATAATATTATATAAATTCTCTTATAATTAATCTCTACATTACTAATAATTTCATAATTCTAACCAATCTTGACATTACTAATACTTGCATTTGAACCTTAGATCTCATTGTCTCATCCATTTTATTGACCACTGAAGCACACTCTTGACGACTTAATTGAGCACTTTAAAAATACCTACTTGTGTTTGTTGTTATATGAAAAATATTGGCCAACAATCTCTAAATAATATTGTAAGCTGTAAAGAAAGCCAAATGTATAGACAGGTAAAAAAAATTAAAACATTATCGGTTCAAGTTCAAAATTCTACCATAAAATGATAAAATTCATACAAATGTCGAATTTGTTACATTATATTCTCCTTCTTTTTGAATCATAATAACCAAGAAGAATCGTAAATATTGTAGTATAGTAAATTTTCAAGTGAGTCGTCTGAATACAAAGTAAAGTAAATCACCATTTTGGTTGGCTTGGATTCTCTAGTCTAGTAAAATAAACTTTGGAATTATAATTTTGTCTAATTTATTTATAGAAAAAATATATCCAGGCTCTCTTGGGTAATTTATTTTCCAAGTGGAATCTACAAACTTGATCCACTTCTGTTTTGGTGTTGTCTAACTTGTCAACTTATCTGCAGCAAAAAGATTTAAAATAAAAGGTTGAAAAACATTAGACAAAATGATACTGAAGGTTAGAAAGTGTAAAAAGATTTAATGACAATTTTTTTATATTTTAAATAAATATTATGATATTCCTAGATTAAATTAGTAATTGATTAACTTACCACATAAACATAGGGATCAGTGCGACCTCCTGCCCCTGTCCTCTTCACTTCTTCTAGCCTCAACAATCTGAAATAACCAAACGTACACAAGAAAAAAGTCACAATATTAGACTATCACAAACATCATGCAGTTGTACACTATGCATTGATGATTTGTACGCACTATTTATGTGCTCTGTGTGTGAGAGAGCTGAATCGTTTCGTTTTTGTAATTTTCTAATATTGTTTCGTTAGATAGGAATAGATTTGATGATTATTTGGGCCCTCGAAAAATATCCCCATTCATAGGCCTGAGATCTACTACTGGGAGAGAGAGAGACTGACATTCTCAAGGCTTTGCTGGTATCAGGGCTATCACCAAGAAGCTGACGAATCCTAACTTCAGAAGCACAACCATGAGATGACAACACCTTCAATATGGCTTCAGCTCGACGCCGCATATTAGCTGAGAAAATCACCTTCATCTTCCTCGGAACACACTCTCTTTCCTTTGGTACTACTCTATTAGCCTCACAGCTTCCGCCGCTTGAGATGTCGCCGGCGGCAGTAGAGCCAATGGACACGCACGACAAAGCTGATGTGCAAGAGGTAGCCAGAGAAAACGCCGATTTCGGCTTGCCGGAGCTGATTTTCAGGCAATCGGAAATGCATAAGCTCTTAGATCGTCTCCTTCGCACCGCCTACAAAACAGAGAATGTCGAATCGATTATCAAGCGTCAATTTTCTAATCGAAGAACAGAGAAAACAGAGTAGCGGAACTTTGGAGATTTGAAGGAACGAAAATCAAAAACTCAAAACATCTAAACATCAATCAAAGCTAGAAAAAAAACTGATTCATTCTAAATCATCGATTCTGCAATTCATAACACTGAGAAAACAGAGCAGTGTAACTATGAAAATTCAAAAAACAATCCAATACGAAGCACTGAAGAAGCAGCTTCATAACAGATCGAAGAATATAATAAACTGATAATTCAATAAAAGCAAACTAGAATAACAATACAAAAATCTAGATCGCGTTCATTTTCATGCAATATTTCATTTTTTTCAACTTTAACAGTAAAACTGATCACCTTGAGCTTATTAATGACACGAATCATCCGAATCATCTTAATCCGACGAGCATTTGCTTTAGCCTCAGCAAACGAGGCATCATCATCATAATCAGCATCCTCATTGTCGTAATCATCAGCTGTTATAGTTGAAGAATCAGTCGATTTGGACTTCGAATCTGACACGGACGTCGCATAACTCATTGCAGCTATTTGCGAAGTCTCAGATATGCTCTTCATTCTGCAAAATTACCAACAAAAAACACGCAAAGCAAGTTCATAATAGCAACAATTTCAGTAACTTAAATTCGAGAGAAATTTTGAATTTCGTTATACATAGGAGATGCAGAATGTGTATCATCATCATCAACTGTTACAGTTGAAGAATCAGTCGATTTGGATTTCGAATCCGATACCGACGTCGTGTAACTCAATGCAGCTATCTGTGAAATCTCAGATATGATCTTCATTCTACAAAATTCCCAAAAAAAAAAACTCACAATAGCAACAATTTCAGGAACTCGAATTCAAGAGAAATTTCAAATTTCATTATACTTAGGAGATGGAGAATGTGTATCATCATCATCAGCTGTTACAATTGAAGAATCAGTCGATTTCGACTTCGAATCCGATACCGAAGACGTATAACTCAATGCCGCTATCTGTGAAATCTCAGATATGCTCTTCACTCTGCAAAATTACCCCAAAAAACTCATAATGGCAACAATTTCAGTTACTCGAATTCGATAGAAATTTCAAATTTCGTAAAAAAAAACATGCAAAAAACTCATAATTGGAACAATTCCAGTTACTCAAATTCGATAGAAACTTCGATTCATTAAAAACATGCAAAAAAAACTCATAATAGTAACAATTTCAGTAACTCGAATTCGATAGAAATTATGAATTTCGTTATACTTGGGTGATGGAGAATGTGTATTTGATAAAAGGAGAAGAGCAGAAGCAACATGAAGTTCATCTTCATTAGGAAATGCCTCTTCTTCATCTTCCATTGTTAAACTTCTTCAACGTTATTTTTGTTTCTCTATGCAAAATTTGAAAAATGGCGCGTTAAAGTTAAATTTTTTTGGGTTCCTTGCTGATTACGGACTACGAAATGGGCTTTATATAAGATCCAGTATGCTTCTTTGGGTTCGACCCAATATTCGGCCCACTCTCTTGCTATTACTCGTAGAGACCACAACAACCAAGATGTGTATTATTATATATAGAAAAAGGCGAAGCATAGTGATTTGTGCTAACAAAAAAGTTTCACTAATTGATAGGCAATAGAATTAGTCGATAGGTGCAGGCAAGTGCAACGAATCACATAAACAAGCTCCTACTTGTTAGTGCAGGAATGGATAGGGTGGTCGAAGTACGAAGGGGATGGATGTATTAACATTTTGCCCTTAAAATGTGATGGTCTTTTAATTTTTGTCCTTCAAATGGATCGGTCTTTGATTTTTGTTACTCTTATTTAGCAATCGAACTTATACCTGGTGGGGCATAAATTCATTTGGGAAAAGGCTCAGATATGCCATCGAACTTTGAGAAAAGGCTCATTTATGCCATTCATTAAAAGTTTGGCTCATCTATGCCATTTTCGTTTGAGAAAAGGCTCATCCATGTCATTATTTGTCAACTCAAATGGCGTAGATGAACCAAACTGTTAACGGATGACATAGATCAGCATTTTCTCAAAAGTTCGATGACATATTTGAGCCTTTTCTTTTTTTAAAAATAATTTAATTAATTATGTGCCCGAATCATAGTTGACCACATGTAAAAAAAATTGCAAAACCAAAACTTTTTTTAGTTAATAGATAATGGCATGGATGAACCTTTTCTCAAACGAAAATGCACAGATAAGCTAAACTTTTAGCGGATGACATAGATGAGCCTTTTCTCAAAGTTTAATAACGTATTTGAGTCTTTTTTCAATTCTTTAAAAACTAAAGTCATGTTTAGATATGTCTTGTGGATATTATGATGGGAAGATATATACTTTTATCTCACAAAAAAGTTATTTGTAAACAAAAATTAAAGACCATCACAAAATGGGACAAAAATGCAAATGACCCAAATTTTGCTTGCATCACATTGGACCTATAATAGAACCCAATTTTTGGCCCTGATTTTGGGGCGAATTGCACAAATAGCACTATTTATTTTATTTTAAAAAAATAGCCAAGGTTACAATTTTTTTAAAGTTTAGCTGCCTCAAAATTTTATGCAGAATTGAAGTTAGTCAAAATCATAGGTTTAAAGTAGGAATGATTAAAGTCTAACTAAGGCATGGAGTATGAATGATAGTTCAAATTGAGACATTTTGGGTATAAAGTTGGTATATAGTTTATAACTCAAATTTATATGAAAGCACTTCAAGTTAAGTTTGCAGTTGCACGTATATGGAACGAGGTATAATCAAATGAAAGCTCTCTACTCTCTAGTAACACTATGATCCATTGATCATTTTTACTTTTTTTTTACTCTACTGATTCGAGTAATTTACATCTCACATAAACACTCTTCATATTATACGTAAAAGTAATTAGTTACGAGAGTAATGTATCAATTTTAATCGAAAGTGTTTAAACTTTGGTCATATTTTTTTAAAAGCTAGTTCAGTCTCTTCTTTAATTCTATACTATCACATATAAAATTCCTAATTAACTTGTCGTTAAGACCTGGACAATTTAAATTGTCATACAAAATAAGTCATATATTTTCTTATTATAGATAGTTCAATTTCTTTTACGTAATTTAAAATTCTTAGTAAACTTATGTGAAAACACTTCCAATATTAACCTTAATTTTCCTAATAAATAACTTACACCTAAAGTTATGTTCTCTTTTGCCTTTCTTTTTCTTGACTTTTATGTTTTCATCCATTGAGTTGATTTCTTCTTTCTTTTCTTAAATATCTTTTGAGTTGGTTTATTTTTCATTCAGTGT